TAGCCTCGGGCCTTCCTCACGCGCAAGTGGGTCTCTGGTGTGCCTTCCGGCAAGCCTCTCTCGGACCGCTCCCCGCCGTCTTCACTATCAAGCTTCCAGCCAAACCACCGTGGGCCTTGTTCCCTTCGATATACGGTGGCGCCCACACCACAAACGCGGTTGGTGTGATCTCGCAAGACTATAAGCCCCTCCGATGTACAACAATGGTGCGCGCAAACACCGAGTGATAAGAGGTGTGCAAACCTCACTAAACACTAGGCCTAAACCTAGAGCAAGCGCATAAGCGGTGGTCTAACTAACCTAAGCACTTCGCAAATCACCTACGCTAATCACCGAATGTATCACTAAGCACTATGCAAGTGAAGATTACTAAAATGGTGTATCAACACCCTTGGTATGTTTCCTTAGCTCTCCACCCCTCAAATGGCTGGTTGGAGGGTCTATTTATAGCTCCACATGTGAGAACTAGCCGTTGGACCCGAGACCTAACTTTCTGCTAGTGACCGGACGCTGATCACGTCCCGATCGGACGCGTCCGGTCCTGCCAACCATTGGAGCGCGCGTGTTGATCGGACTCTGGTCCTAGTCCGGTCTCACTCGATCGGATGTGTCCGATCGCGCTGGCGCCGCTCTAGAACCTTTCTGGACATGATCGAACGCTATTTCTTGGTGCGTCCGGTCGTCCTGCCGTCGCGTCCGGTCACGTTGAGAACGTTGACGTTGACAATGAATAGTGAAGTCCGTGCATCCGGTTGCTGCTGCTGACGCCTGCTGTTGCCGAGCAACTGATCGGATGCGTCCGGTCCTCATAGGGCTACGTCCGGTCACCTCTACCGAGCTCGTTTCTTTGCTATCTTGTGTCCGGCTTGGTTTTCATCTTCGTGCTTGGACTTTGCTTGATATCTTGGGTTGTCTCTTGTGTTTTTAGGGTCTTGCTTATGGTGTTGATCGTGGGATCATCATGTCGCTTTCGTCCAAGTCACGTCTTGCACCCTATTGAACTACAAAATAATTACTTGCAAATTCATTAGTCTAATTTGGTTGTATTGGTCATCAAACACCAAAATGCAAAGTAAATGGGCCTAGGGTCTATTTTCCTTACAATCTTCCCCTTTTTTGTGATTGATGACAACACGAACAAAACAAGCAAATAATAAATTTTTTGGAATTTAAAAATTATTTACTTGCTAGGATGCAATACAAAGGGCTTATATAATGCTAAAAGATACCATATGTAAACATTTTTGAAAACTTATCTTGCCCTTGCAAATGTCCCCATGTGGCATTATGAATTTAGGCCTCCCCCTAACTCCATAATCCACTATCCTCCTTTTCTCGGACCATTACCACTTGTAAAATATTATGATCAGGCTTGCTTTTGGTCCTACAAATTCTTCCCATTTGGAATCAAACACCGAAAAGGAAGACATCAGTAGCATAAGGAAGGGTCAAACTTTATGATCCTTTGTATGTGGAGTGGAATAGGTCACCAAATTTGACTCTCACATTATATAGACTAAGCTCCCCCTAACTATATGCATACATATGATGAAGAATATAGTTTATGCATAATTGACAAATTAATGCTCAAGGAAGTTTAATCTATATAATGCATGGAGAAAGCATATAAATAATAAAGTAAAATCAACATGATGATATCAGTTTAGAAATACCACATGTGGAAACCAATTTGATTTATACCACTTGCAATAGGTGGTGGATATTTAAAGTATGATGCTTAACTCCGGTGACTCTATTTTTCTTGCAATGAGACTACTACACGTATGATAAGCTTAAAAAGGTGTTAGTCTCAAAGCATCCAACTTGTAGAGTAACCTCCCCCTAAATTTGTGCAGAATACTTGTAGGAGACATGCACATTGATTTTAGAATAAAAAATACCACTTGAAAGATGACATCACATAAATATGAGAATCATTTTCGAAAGTGATATTCGGGAGAAATTATCTACAATTTGCACTTTGGCACATATTAGATGAACAATTATAAAACAAGCTATGTGACGTGCTCCTAAACAATTTAAACCATATAGATTTGCTCCAAAGGTTAAGAGTGAAACCGAGCAAGCCTACCATAAGATATAACCTAATGTATGCAAGACAAAAGATTAAACATGCAAATGCAAACCTAGGCATGAAAGGTCACAATTTATAGTTTTGCAAGGTCACATAAACCTATGCAACTAGTCAACTAGGCACAAGTGAGCTCCTGCACATTCCAGTGAGTACAAGCACAAAGCAAGCAATACTAGCACTACTCAACTAGTTACACTACTAAAGCAAAACTAGAGAGCTAAAACTACTTAGCTACACAAGTTAAGCTAAGCTACTTAGCTACACAAGCTAACAAGCACAAGAGAGCAACTAATTAACTACACAAGTTAGCTAGCTAGAGAAGAGCAATAACACTAGCACAAGTAATATAAGTAAGCTAGTGTTAGGGAACTGCAAACCAACGGAAAGACAAAGATGACACCATATTATGAGCAGAAGAGCTAGACATGGGGCGTTGTGGTGCTATTGGCTCGAGTAGTGGAAACCCATGGCCACGTTAAGGTAAACATCGGTTTCTGCTACCAAGTTGGCCAATTTTGGGTTGGTTAGCTGATGTATAGCTCATCTATCCCTCGAAAAAGCCAAATGACATCCCATATTGTGGTTGGCTAGCAACTAGGGTTGATATAGTAGTGGACATATGATGAGGAAAAATGAGGATTTCAGGCTTCTTTTCCTCCTTTTTACTAAAACCCAGTCATAATTTGCTAAGATTGTCATGTATACCGATCTTGAAAAGTTTAGCCCAATCTCGAAAATCATCTTAGCACATTCATCATGTGCAATACCAAACTTAGGAGGAGTTTCACTAGCTTTTACCTCAGATGAAGATGTAGCGGGGAGAGGATCGAAGCTGACATCTTTGACCTTCTTGACACCTTCCCGTCGATCCACCTCAAAACATGCTAGGGCATACTCCAGATTTTCAGCAGCTTGTGCCTTCGCCTCTCCTTCAGTATCTTGCAAATCTCCTCGGAAAGTTGATTGGCCGAAGGCTTGATGATGTCTTTGGGGTTTGTTCGGATCTGTATGATCGTCCTTTTTTTTACCGTTGGCCATAGTAACATATCTGTTTGCTTTCTTCCTAACTGAGGTCGTAAAAAAGTGTGTTGACGCTAAATGCGGTCACACATCGGTAAGGGCTAGATCGCTCAGGACGCACACAATCATGATAGACAGTGGAGATAGGCCTAAAGAGTTAGGCTGGCCAGCGGGGGTGACCAAATGATACACTAGTTCTTCGTCTAAAAATCCCATAAAGGCCCCTGGAAGACCTGGCCGGAAGATGCACAAGGCCCCTCCTGTTTCTTAAAAAAAAAAGATACCTGCCCTTACTTAGCAGGCTTAAATGGGTTTGTCTACAAAATTTGTACTGGGCCTTTTGTTGTCTCAGCCTGCAAGGCCACACGCAACGCAACGCATCGGCCCTTTGCATCCGTACTCGTTCGTCTCTTGCGTGCTTTGCGATCTCAGATCCACCAGGCTCCCGCACATTCGGCTTGCCGTCGCTCTATATAGATGGATTTCAGGGCGAGGATTTTATTTTCTTGTGCGGATTTATCCTTTATCCACCTGTGTTAGATGCTGGCATGGACATGAAGATGGGCACAATTTGAAATTAATTTAGCGTTTAGTGTAGTACAAGTAGTCGCATTGCATTGGGAGATGAAAGGTGTTGTGTCATGTGGGTAACAACTCATCTTTGTAAATAAAACAGTAAAGAAAGAAAGAAAGGGGCATTGGAAAGCACCATGTGTACAATATGTGTTTCATTAGTACAGTTGTTTTACTGATACTGTAGGTTCTCTTGTCATCAGAAATATGCGTTTCCTATCTGTATCGTGCATTGGGCTGGATTAGAACGAGCTACCTATAGCAAGAGGAATCCAATATTTTTTTTCTAATCCTATTTTTCTATGAAATTAAATTAATCTGTAAATTTTCTAAAAATCTTGAGTTCCAAACAAGTTCTTATTCTACCTTACTAAGGTTGAAAACGGATGGAATTTTTCCCATTCCGAATCACCTGTTTTTTTCACATTTAACCTGACCGTTTCTGTATTTTCGAAAAAATCTGAAAACAGTACGGATTGCGGGATGGAAGTTTCCGGAATCGGAACGGAAAGGGAAGGTGTTTTTCCGCCCGTATTTTCGGAATTCTGTATTTGGTCAGAATTTCACCGGATTTTTTTTTCCTGGATTTTACCCGGATTGCAGACAAGGCCCATCAACCATCATAGCTTGTCCCAAAGGTCCTTACTATAATCTCTCTGTATGGCATGGTTTAAAAGGCGTCGCCTAGTCGTCTAGGTGAGGAAAGTTGCTGGGCGTCGAGCTCACCCGGACTTCCGTGTGTAAGGCGTCCGCCTTGCTCGATTAGGCGTTTGGTCGTCGCCAAGGCGCCCGCGGCGGATGCTTTAACTTCATGAAATCGGGGGCGCTACGGAAAGAAGCGACAAGCCCGGTATGCGGAAAAATCGCTCCCGTGCGAGCCTTCCCCTTTTTTTACTGCTGCTGCACAAAACAAATTGAGAGGGAGAGATAAAGCGCAGGAGGTAAATCAGAGAGAGGGAGAGTAATTAGATTTAGAAACCAGAGGCCCGCCGCTCCGCCCCTTCCTGACGCGGCGATTCCCACCGGTGCGGCGTCAAATCCTCGTGGAGCGCGGCACAGCCGGCGGCCCCGCACATCTCCACTGGTCGCCCCCTCCTGCAGCAACTGGATCCCGCCGTTCGCAGCTCGATTGAAGCCTGCCGGCCGCCAAATCGACTGGAGACCAGCCGTCCACCGTCTGCTCTCCGCCAGGCACCAGGACGGGGTTCCGATTTGCTTTACCGCCGGCCCCCAGCTCTGACCTGCTCACCTGCCTTCCCTCTGGGCACCTGCAAGCTGAGGTAGTGCCATCCAAGAATTGCTTGACAAGATCATGGAGATAATTGAGCGAAGGTGGGAGAAACAAATGGATCATCCACTCTACGGGGCTGCATTGTTTTTGAACCCAGGGAAGCTCCATCCTCTCATAAGAAAAAATGATGATGCAACTGTTGGACAGCTAAGAGGTTGCTTTCTTGATGTACTTGCAAGAATGGTGGAGGAAAAGGAAACTAGAGACAAGATCGATGCTCAAGCCATGGATTATGAATTTCTTCGAGGAGATGCTTTTTCAAACAAAATGGCCAAGCAAAACCTTGAGTCTTTGAGCCCTCGTAAGTGTTGTGTTCTTCTCTTTTAATGTCATCAAGTGTACATTACAACAATTTAATTCCAGCAAGCTAGCATTTTTCAATCCCAGCTCCTAACATATGATGCATTTGTTGTTCTAGTTGATTGGTGGCGTTCATATGGTGGCCATGCTATTGAGCAACAAAGGTTTGCTAAGCGTGTGGTCAGTCTTTGTGCTTCATCATCTGGTTGTGAGCGCAATTGGAGCACCTTTGAATTTGTGAGTTTTTCCCCATCTATCATCTCCTTGCTGTTTTTACCAATATTTCAGCAAGCATTTTATTCATCTTTTTGGTGCATTGTGTTTCTTATTTTGTAGATCCACACAAAGAAAAGGAACCGATTGTTGCATAAGAGGTTAAATTCTATTGTCTTTGTTTCCTACAACCGGAAGATGAAAATTAGGTTCCAAAAATTGAGGCAGAAGAAAGGTAAAAGCTTTGATCCTTTGGTTGTTGAGGAGTTTGATTGGGACAATGAGTGGGCTGACTCACTGCATGTGCCCCCTCATTGTGCTCATGGCTGTGAGTGTGACCTTACATGGGACCTTGTTGATGAAGCTATTGGAGCATCAGAGTTACTTCATGGCAGAAATTTACCAAGAACAGCCCACAACAAGCGTGCTAGAAATTCTGCACCTATTGGGGTTCAGGAGGAGCTGGGTTCAAAAAATGAGGATGAAGAAAATCAAGATCCCTATGATGACGCAGATGTGACAGATTGTGAGGATGATCCTTGTGATGCCAATGGTAGTGGAGGAGATGAGGAGGTAGCCAACATCATTGGAGAGTTTGATGATGGCTACTGAGAGGAGGGATTTCAGATTTCCTATGTTGCTATTTCATATATGACGCACACTAGCAGCGCTACTAATTAAGTCATGCCATTAGAGACTAGTTTTTGGCTAATGAGACATTCCAGATTTGCTCTTTTGCTACTTCATATTGTGCACTAGTAGACTAGTACTCTAGTAGCACTACTTATCATCCTTATTGGCCTTGTTCGCTTGTCTTATAATCCGTACTTTTCAACTTGTTTTTTCAGCCGGAACAATGTTTTTCTCTCATAACAAATCAGCCGCAACAGTGTTTCGGCTTATTTTTTCAGCGAAGCGAACGGGGCCATTATGGTCTAAAACTATGTATGTCTGCTAAGAATTGGTAATATTAAGGTCTGATTTGCTTCTGAATTTTAGCGCCATTATATATTATGATATTCTTATGGCGTCGCCTAGGTGTCCGGAAGGGGGTCGCTCGCCTCGCCTCGCCTTAACGCCTTTTAAACCTTGCTGTATGGCCTGAGTATCGGTTACTAAGTGTACATTCAAGCAAACCACCTCAAAGACAATATCCATAGATTGCATCACATGATTGTCCCAGAATTAGTGCTATCATCTGCTCATTCAACCACAATTGGTTCTAAAGGCATCATAGCTTCCAAATACCTGTTGATGTCTGCACAGTTATTTTCCTTGGTCAATATAAGTCAGATACTCTACTCATATCCAATATCTCTACTCATATCCAATATCCATCCAAACAAAAGTCCATTGGAGTTCATCTTTTACAACTGTTGCTGCCACCATCATTAACAGGATCCTGGGAAGAAATCCTGCCAAATGTGGTAAGTAATTGGATAATTTGAGGGAGAAAAGAGGGTAAAGGAGGAAGAACTAGGGTTCTACAAGGGAAAAAGAGAGAGAAAAACCGAAAAAGTGATATCCATATACGTCTAAGCTGATTCCAGGCTGGCGCATATCCCTTCCAGAGGACCGTAATTAACTTCTAACAGGACAACAGTTTTTCATCCACATAACAAAGATGCACAGTAATAACTATCGTAAATAAAACCAGGACCATCTGATCAATGGTGAACGCACAAGAACGATGCACGTCATCCACCATCGAAGAGGTGTTTTCAGTTTCTTCAGACTGAAACTGATAGCCACTCTGTTTCAGAATAAGAACCTGACATTCATGCTGGCATGTAGTTAAATTAGCATTTGTATTACTGTTTTGTGCTTCCAGGATAGATCTAGTATTGTCATCTGTGTATCCCAGCATCGGGATATATCATAATGTCAGTCTAAAGAGCATCGTGTAGTTCAGAATACCATGCTATTCCACAAAATGTCACTCCAGTTTCCATTCGATTTTTCTGTTTTTGTGCCATGCCAGATGTAAATGCCCTTGCGTGGCTCCACGCATCCCACCAAGATTGTTGTGGTTCGAATTCAAGATTTGCATACCATATTGCCAAGTGCAGGTACAAGCTTGTTGGCATGCTTTGTTTTAGTCCACTGATTTAGGGATGAATGATGAAGAGTTGGTTAGCATCTTCTGAAGATGTGAACTAGAGGTCAATTAAATAAAAATAGGAAGCCAAACACAAAGTGAACACCAAAATGCTTTCTCATGGTACAATGTATGTTATGCTCTTTAGAGCAATCTCTCATAATGTGCAATATTTGGAGTGATACAATGAGACAAACTGCTGTTCCAAGTGTTATGTTAGAAGTACCCTATACATACATTTTGGTGTCCAGTCTTGAGTTTCGAGTTGATGGAAAAGGCAGGACAAAATCTTTTTTTATAAGGAGGACAAAATCTTACAATTATGATCACTTTAGGATAAATTCCAAAAGTTCATAATCACAGAACTTAACAGGGTCACACACCGGGTGTTGCCTATGTATTAAGGAGAAATAGGGGAGAAGTTGACCCCCAGATTTGTAAAATATCTTTCTGCATGACACACACAAAAAACGTACTGTACCTTAATTTAGTAACTATCCAACTACTAGTATAAGAAGTTTTAGCCAAAATATTTAAAACATGTTCTTCTAGGACATAAGCCATGCTGCCAGTGTTTTGCCATTGACATTGTTACACACATCAAGAGAACACTGATACTAAAGGGTTGATGACACCAAAAACAAAATTGTCATCCACCTCCTCCTACTAGAGTCTATATAATTCCTACTAGAGTCTATATAAACTTACTAGGCGACAATGAGCGTGATTAACTCCTCCGGAGTTCATTTCCCACAAAAGATATATATATACCTACCCATCATACTTAACACCATTGATGAAGCCTTGTCAATCCATGGATCTGATAAGCAAGTCAAGTACCTGGTTCCTCAAAGCAGTTTGGTTCAACGTCATCTGCACCTCCTTATCCATCTGCTTCTTCATTTTGGCATCCAATTCACGTGCTTTTTCGTCGCTGATAAGTTGGAAGGCCCTCTTGAGCACTGGCCGCAGCGACTCGTTGTCCGTGATCCCGTCAACTGTCAAGGCAAGGCTGGGGTACAGGTCCTGCAGCTCCTCGCCCCCCCTGCGCACGCGTGTGCCCGGCGCCGCATTGGCATTGCCACTGGCGTTGGTGACGCGGCTGGCGCCTACTTTCTTGACGATACTCAGCGGCAGGTCGCCCCAAATCGACCTCGACAGCTCGTACTTGCGCGCCTCATCGCCATCATCAGCGCCGCCAGCAGGCATCGGCACGCCCCCGGTGGAGCGCAGGTTCGCGTACTTGGTCCGGAGCCGCCGCACCTTCTCGTAGATCTCCGTGACGGTGAACTCAGACTTGTCCAGGCCGCAGCCGTCGAGCGCGGCGTGGAGCTGGGACCGGCGCGGCTCTGCGCCGTGGGCCGCGGCGTACGCGGCGAGGCCCCCGAGGATGCGGACTTCGTCCGCCTCCGACCACACCCGCCCGGTCGCGACCGCCGGCTTCTTGCCGCCGTCAGCCCCCGCTTCTTGCTGCCGTCAGCTCCCGGCTGGTACGCCACCCATGGAACCAGAGCCCCGGCGGCGGCGGCATCCGCGTCCATGGTGAGTAGATCGTCGGCGGACGGGGAATGCGGGGCGCCCGTCGGCGGCGGCATCGTTGGAGTCGAGAAGATTTGGGGGATTTTGGGGGGTTTTTCTCTCCGCGATGGTGAGCGGGGAGGGGGAGGAGCCGAGGAGGCAAAGGGCTAAAGTAGGCTGCAGCCGGTTTATTTTTTATTTATTTATACCTTTTTGAAACATTTTGAAACATGAGAATAGGAAACGTGTAAAATTAATGAACCATCATGCTATAAATTAAAGGTAAGTAAAGTTTTAATATGAACCTAGTAATGCCAATTTTGTATTACAAAAGTCAATTATAGTAATAAAATTGTTGCCGGTTTGAGTACAATTTTAGATGGTTAGTGTCAAAAGTAAAAAAAAAAGGTTTTATACTTTGAATAAATCTAAACACTTTCACAAATATATTAGAAAACATATCTTTTTAAGACTTAACACAATTCTATCAAGTTTGGCATATAGATTTCAGTCTTCAACTATTATGAAAGTTCAATTCTGATGCTATTAGCTGTCGTGTTAAAATCGCTCGATCTGTTCAAATGCCACACGGGATGAAAACCAGGATAGAATTGTTGTGGATTATGTTTTGTTCGGATTTGATAGTGATGAGTGTGCAATGTCAGTCTTAGATGTCTTTGGTACGGCATTTTTCGCTACAAAGCATGGAGAAGGTGTAACCGGTGAAGCCAAAAATCAGGACGTGCTTAGCTGATTTTAATAAGAGCTATGGTGTATGGAGGTGATCCGGAGCAAGAGCCGCCATAGAGCCTAATATTTTGGGCAAGGGCTAGCGCCCGGACGTCCGGCCACAGGCCCACGTCCAGATGTAGCTCATGTTCCATGTCCTCCAAGACCACTACCTCCACCCAGCCATCCATTCGTCCCACGGCTCCCCCGACGAGTTGGATCCCCATGCCCCTCCTCTCGCCAAGGATCAGCATGCAACAGCGTGTCTCCACGTTGCCACGCCTCGCTCACTTGGGATTGGCTTGGTGCGTCCACGGGGCACCTTCTCACTGTGTTGCGCTTTTGTTTCGTTCTCTGCAGTCAAATTGAATTGAGTGCAGGCAGGCAGCAACTAGTAGGTAGGAGTGCCCAGAGGCCCATAGCTAGTAGGACGGAGGTCTAGCTCTTTCTTCCTCTCAACAACCCTACATCCAGATCTAGTTTTGCAACACTCAGATGAAACAAATTGCAACATATGTCTGAAAACAGATGAAACATTTAAAATATACACTTGCAACATAGCCATTGCAACATATGCAATATCGAAATAAAACACTTGCAAAATACATCTGAAACAGATGAAATATTTTAAACAAACTCTTGCAAAATACGTGGATAGTCATTGCAACATGTGCAACATCTCGATCTAATTTTGCAATATCCAAATGAAACACTTAGAACATACCTATAACCCATCTGAAACACTTAAACATACGCTTGGCTCAATTTGGGCAAGCGGCATTGACAGGCGGGAGAGATCACCACCAGTGCCATCGGCCAGAGAGGGCGGTGCGTGTGCGGTGGGAGCGCACGCGACGGGAGGGAGAGCAGCACACTAGCAGCAATGAGGTGGAGTGGGCGTGCAGCACCGGACAGGTCGGACGCCCGTATCCTATCGTTATCGTAATATTTTAGAACTAAAAAAGAGTTTGTATTTTTTTGAACAAAATTTATTTATATCTTTTATAAAACTAATCCCCATTAGATTAGAAGTGAAAAAGAGTTTGTATTTTTTCAAACAAACTTTATCTGTCTTTTATAAAGAGTCTATCTACCTAACAACCATGTGTTTTATGCAGTTTCAACACATGAATTTTTTTGCACCATAGAATTAAGATCCAACAACCTCCATTCTCCTTCTACCTCTAGCCTTCTTTTACCTCCAGACAATCACAAATCATAAGATCACAGAACCACAGATCACAAGAAATAATTTTTTTCTATGCAAGAAAAAGGGATAAATTGGGTCCGGCCGCACGCGTATACATAGAGGACCGGCGCCGGAATATCTAGAGCACAGGCTGCTCGGCCCACAACTCGCCGTGTTCGCTTTTATAGTTATCGTAATATTTTCCGGGGAGGAACTGAAAAGGCAGGAGAGTTTGTACCATTTTAATGCAAAAGGTTTATCTATATCTTTTTGCATAAAGCTAATGTGGCGTTCCCTCATTAGATTAGAACTGAAAAAGAGTTTGTATTTTTTTCAAACAAACTTTATCTATGTCTTTTATAAAACTAATCCCCATTAGAGCATCTCTAATAACCTTTCTAAATCTCACTCTCTAAATCATCATTTAAAGAGTCATTTACATAAAAGTCGCTTTTCTATATCTTTTTACTCTCCAATGGTTTTTCTATATCTCGTGACTAGTTTAGAGAGCTATTCTCGTCTTTTATTTTTTGCTAGCGGAAAATCTAAAATAGAAAATAGCTATATTTAGATAACCATTTAGATAAGCTGTTGAAGGATAGTTTTTTATCAAGATCTCTATTCCTAGTATTTAGAAAGAAAATAGAAAGTCTCTTGGAGATGCTTTTAGAAGTCTATTTCAACATGCAAACTATCAACATCATCTTCCACTAACTATCTACATCATCTCTCTACCAATAGCCATGTCACCACATAAACTTACAACCTCTTAATTGCAAGCTATCCACATGTATCATTTTCACTCAGATTCATTTCAAAAAAAATTTAATCCTTGCAGCAACGCTATCTTCTAGTTACAAAGAAAATAAAAACAGAGAAGATATACATTCTGAAATTACCCTTGACCGCACAGCGCACAATCTTTAGGCATGCATCTTGGAGCAGAAAATACAGTCAAATTATATTCCAACGTCGATGGACCTGCAACGGTACGACCCATCTTACCTGGGAAGCACCGGGGTAAGCAGCGGCTTACCGGAGAAGAAGGCTGCTTCAAGGTTCCCGATAGGTGACGTCACGAAGGACTCCTTCGTGAAAGCCGCGCAATGATGCCTCAGCACCACATTGTCCATGGAGAAGAGCTCCGCAGGCACCTTGGGGTTCCTTCTCGAAGACATCGAGGCCAGCTCCGGCGATCCTCCCCTCCGCCAGCGCGCTGACAAGCTCCTCCTCGTCGATGCTCAGCCCCCGGCCGATGTTTATGACGACCCCGTCTTTCCCGAGGGCGTCAAGAACGTCCTTGTTCACGATGTGGCGCGTCTCCTTGCTCAGCGCGCACGCCACGACGAGCACGTCCGATTCGCAAGCGAGGTCGTGGACGGTAGGGAAGTATCTGCAGGAGACGGATTCCTTGGGTGTTCTGGAGTTGTAGTAGATGACGCAGCCGAAGGCTGCGAGCCTCTTTGCGATCAGAGAACCAATGTTCCCCAATCCGATGATGCCGATGCGCTTGCCGCCCACCTTGGTGCCGGGGGGATGGTAGCCCCCTGCTGGAGCGGCCAGAGCCCGCGCCGGATGAACCGCTCGGCCGCCGACACGCGGTGCAGCACGTCGACGAGCATGCCGACAGCGTGGTCAGCGACGTCGGTGGAGTAGACCGTGCCAGAGTTGGCGACGGCGACGCCGCGGCGCGCGCACTCGCCGAGGTGGATGTGGTCCAGCCCTGCGCCCGCGCTGAAGACGAAGCGGAGCGATGGCACGGCGTCGAGGAACGCGGCATCCACACGAACAGAGTCGCCTCCCGCAGTGACCAACGCACGGGGCGGGTCCTGGTCGGCGGCCGCGGCGGCCAGGAAGGCGGGGAGGGGCTCGCCCGACGTGAAGAAGTCGAGGACGCGGTACCGCTCGCGCAGCGCGGCGTGGAAACGCAGTTCCCGGACGCGGAACATGAGGAGGGGCGGGAGCACCAGGGTCTCGGAGGATGTGATGACCCAACTAGGCCTGGGAATGGGTCGTGATCCCCAGCTCCAATCCTGTGTGATTAGGTTGTAAGCCAGCACTGACAATCCAAGGGCTGGCGCGCGCGCACATATATATATATATATATATATATATATATATATATATATATATATATTCAAATGTAGTAGAAAGCACGCACAATATATTAAAATACAATGGAATTTAACCATTTGACTCTAATCCAGTTCAGATAACTGATAGACAATCAATAAGTTACATCCAGTTCGATTACAATGGAATTAAATATATGTGCTGGCGAGTTGCTTGGTTTAACCATTTGAAGTGATTGTGCAACCTAAACACCTGCAAATGAATCAAATATACATATGTGAGGGGAGAATATATATTTTCAACAATCTTACAGTACAAGGATTTCAACACCCCTTTCCAGTTCCCTCAGCTACAATAACAGATCAGTACACGTTTAATATCTATCTTGTGCAAAAATTGTCATGCAAATAAACTATGGTCAGCACCATCAAATTAATTGCTGATAACTTAGAAGATGCAGCCACTTCTGAAACGAGTTCACTTATTTACAGCCGGTATAGCTTCTACACTAACTAGTAGTAACAGAACAAAGGCCATTACAGAGATTTGGTAATAAGACCACGTTTAGTTCCAAAAAAGTTTCCCAAAAAATGCTACAATAGTCATCACATCGAATATTACGATACGTGCATGGAGCATTAAATGTAGACGAAAAAAAACTAATTGCACAGTTTGGTTGGAAATCGCGAGACGAACGTTTTGAGCCTAATTAGTCCATGATTGAACACTCATTGTCAAATAAAAACAAAAGTGCTACAGTAGCTGAATTCCCAAATTTCGGCGAACTAAATGAGGCCTAAGAATGGGCTAAAACCAGTGTCTATTATAGTGCAAAGAAACTTAAGCTGGAATCCACTTAGTAATATATTAATGCAGCGGCGGATCAGACCATATTCTAATACCAAAAGAATATGCAGTGAAGCATGGCTGATTCAAACAAGTCAATTTCATATTCGGTGGCTAATCAACACATGAGCAAATCACTAGTATTCAGAATATGCAATGAAACACACTATACAGCTGCTGATCAATTTTAGAACATGCAGTGAAACACACTGTACAGCATTCAGACATCCAAACATTTGCATCCCAACTATGGCTACTGCCTAGTGTCCGTGGTTGAACAGCCCTAATACAATAGAAAACCAAGCACAAGGACGGCTACCTTTGGGGATCACATTCCACAAAACTCAGCTAATTTCCAACAGAACCACCTGAATCACTGTACAGCTGCTGACGCACACCATATTCTACCATATCTTTTTCTAGGAACATTCCTAGTGAAGCAACAGCTAATGTACGTTTTGATATCAGAACATCCCTATTGAACCAACAGCTAGGGCACTAACTGTTAACGGTTAGGATTGATCTCCACCAACTTGGTCCAACGGCCAATTGGACCCTTGATCCGTGCCCTGATCAGGGGCGCCTAGCCGTTTTTCTGGCTGATGGGCCCCCGTCGCGTAGCACAATAAATAGAAGGTGGGGGCTGAGGCTCGAGACACGAGGTTCACCGCAGCCGCCAGCGCCCCACCATGTCCTAACCCTAATCCGATCTAGAAGGGTACGCTGTAAGCGACGGGAAGCACCATCGCCTTTGCCGCCGCCAATGGACCGTGTCTCCACGTCGCTACTACCTCGTCGGCGGCGCCATGGCCGCGACTGCGCTCGACATGAGGTACATCAGCAAATCATCCCATCTAAGTCAAGTTTTCCCCACTGATATACGCCTAGAGGTTTTAGAATTTCTTATCAATGGTACCGAGCCGCGCTCGTCGCCGTGCGCGCGAGCCCTGGCCGAGGCCACCGTCACAGGACCGCTCAACAGTGGCGTGCTCACCCACTTGGGAGCGCGCGCTCCGGCGAGGGGACCCGCGGCGGCGCCACACTTCTTCTCCGGCGTCTGCTGCACAAAGAGCTAACAAAGGAGAAAGGGGAATGGAAAGAGCTAGGGTTTGAGGGCGAGCCCCACCGCAACGCATGTGGGGACTAGGGCACCGTCGCCCAAACCGCTAGACGCGGCGCCCTCAGCCTAGGGTGAGCGCATGCGCCGGTGAGGGGACGGCGGCGGCGCCGCTCCGCTGCTCTCCTTCTTTTCCGTTGCGCTGCGGCGTAGAGAGAGAAGGGTGAGGAAAGAATGAGGCTAGGGTTTTCTGGGAGAGCGGTCACGACGCGGTTTTATTCGAGCGAAACGCGCGCACAGCCGTTCAATCTGATCCAACGGCCGGCGTTCGCTGGACCTGGATTCAGCCCAGGCGGGGAAGTGAATTCCCGGCCTAGGCCCAGGTTGCGGCCTGAGCGCGCGGGGAGCGGTCGCGTGCCGTGTTAAGCAGGCCGCTGGGTCACGCGCGTGGACGCGCAACAGTGATGGGCCGCGGACTGATTTCCCCAGGCGGGCCTAATGAACAGTAAACACAGACTTTTGTTTTATTTATTTTCAGAAGCAAATTTTGATGAGTTTTTCATTTCTATTCAATTTTGAACCAACGGGATAAATTGTTCAGGGAGTAGATGAGTACAATGAGATGCTTCTGAAAAGTAGATAAACAATTTTTCATGTTTCCGCTACACAGTTTAATGTTTATTATCTTCTAATTAAATTCGAACCAACAGGATAATTTAATTTGAAGAGCAGTTACATTTAGTAAATTATGATTATGTTTATCCTCTAATTAAAATGGAACCAACGGGAAAATTTAAATTAGAGGAGTAATTCATTTTGTTTAAGTAAGATAATGATATTGTCATTTTCTGATCAACGTTGATGATGACAATGTTATAATGAATTTAAGTTTGAAGTTTAAATCTCTGATAAATTTTACACCAACGTAGTCAATTTTCCAGAGAGTAGATAAGGACCAAAAAATACTCCTGAACTAAAAGAATGTATTTCATTATCAAGTTTCCGCTGCAATGATGTTGATTATCTTCTAATTAAATTCGAACCAACGGGAAAATTTAATTTTGAAGAGTAGTTATATGGATTTTAAGTTAATTTATGAGTTTTATGTATTAATTCTATTTTCTGCCTAATGGTGATGTATAATTGATGTAGAAGCATATTGTATGTTTTATTTTTAACCGACAAGATCACTCGGTTGCATGCCAACGGGCTGCACTGCTGGGGTATGTGAATGAAAAGGCTCGAGTCAAGCCAGTCCAGAATAGTTTTTTGTTAGTTTACTAATTTTCTGATTAAATTAGAACCAACGGGTAGATTTAATTAGAAAACAAAATATAAGTGAATGTTTTAGTCGTCGTGACTAAGTTTTCGTATAGATGTATCCCGCATGGGGAGAAGTTTTGGCATAGTACTTATGCTAATCAATCCTGCATGGCAGGAGAAGTTTTGTGATGATTCACATGTTTTGTATCCCGCATAGCGAGAGAAGTTTGGGTAGCTCTTATGCTGTCCTAGTATTGACCTTGGCACAATAGAAATGCATCGTCATGGTCAATACTAACCAAAAGTTAAGAAAAGATGCAAGCGTGACTTGCAAAAGTGCTACTAATGAAAGACCTCGTTGAGTTCTTGAAGTGAAATAAGAAAAGTGTACTCCTAAACGGATCAAGAAATAACTTTGTTTATATGACATAATCATGTAAATGAAGTAAGTTATAAGTGTCTCCTCGTTCACCGGTTTTCTAAATAGTTCTTGAAATTATGGCAGTAAAGTTCATGCCATATTTCGAGGGGGAGAATATTAAGATCAATTAAGAAAAATACTCTTCATTAAGAGTGAGATAAATATCAATTAAGAAAGATACTCTTCATTAAAAGTGAGATAAAGATTAATTAAGATGAATGCGACCGTTGGAGGAGTACAACGGTCACAACTCTGATACCCCTAAGCAGAGAAATAGCTAAATTCCTGGACCTTTTAAAGTCCCGACAGGAAGATAGCGTAGTCAGCCTCAAAGATGTTAAGGTGGTGCTTAAAGCGCCATATGAGGTTTTAACAGATTAAACCCAAAATAAGATATTTGAAGATACACCATTTTTAGAAAAGATGGGAAGATCTGGAGGAGCATGGTATGTAGAGGTATGTAGAGACCTAAGACTTGAAGAGAAGAGGGACTACATGTCCACTCCAGTGACTCAGGAGAAACAAGTTTCTCAATACCTGTTGATGTTGTATGACTAATACAACACCTGTTGTTAGCTCTTCAAAGAAGATGAATAATGTAAACAAGGATCTTATAATACATGAGCCTGTAGAATCAATTGCCTCTTGGCAATGAAGAGCAACAACAACCCCATATGAATGTGCCAGTAGCCGAGGCCCCAGGAGGTCTCAAAGAATTAGCAAACTAGTTTTTCTGATAACTATGAAGTCTATGTTAGTAAAGAAATTCAAATAGAGGGTGATCCCACCTCATTTAAAGAAGCCATAAGAAGCGTTTACTCGTTTAAATGGCAAGAAGCTATAGAAGCTGAAATGAATTCGATGAATACCAATGATGTTTTGGGACTTAGAAGAAATTCCTAATGGAGCCAAAATAGTAGGCTGTGAAAGGGTCTACAAGACAAAATGTGACTCCAAAGGGAATATGGAAAGATATAAAGCATGACTTGTAGCAAAAGGCTTTACGCAAAGAGAATGAATAGATTACGATGAGAGTTTTCTCTCCAGTCTGATGCAAGGATTCTTTTAGAATCATAATGACGTTATTGGCACATTATGATTTAGAATTGCATCAGAGGCTTTACGCAAAGAGAATGAATAGATTACGATAAGAGTTTTCTCTCCAGTCTGATGTAAGGATTCTTTTAGAATCATAATGATGTTATTGGCACATTACGATTTAGAATTGCATCAGATGGATGTAAAGACGGCATTCCTCAACGGGGATTTATATGAAAACGTTAACATGG